GATTTTGTGACCATTTTAAACCCCACCCTGGAATTTCAATGGGGAGAAGTAGCCTAAACTCCAGTAACTTCCTTTGGCCAACACAGCCACGGCTGCCACTCCTCTCCGAGCGTCATTTCAATTTGCTTCACCAGATACCGTGCCCAACCTTTCATAAACCATTGATCATCCAGCCGCTGCAGCAGTGCCGAGTAGTGCGCCAGGATCACCATGGCCTCGGGCTTGCGCTCGCCCAGCAGCTTCAAGTATGTTTGCGGAATTGCTATAGGCCACACGAAGATCACTGGGACAAAATCCTGCTTGCGTTCGGACAGGATGGATACCTGTGTGTAGGCATTGAGCAGCTGGTGGATCGCAAGAGCATATGCATTGGCTGTCTCTCGATCCTGTGCGACACGTTCGCTCGAGCAAAGACGGAGCAGGTCCGTCACCCGGTCTGAGTCGTGAACGTCATGGGACGGGGCGGTTTGTTGTGTCATTGCCTTGTGAAGCAATGGCGCTAGGAAGCTGCGCGATAAAGTCCCCCACTGCGTCTGTAGGACGGAGTTGCAGCCGCGGACCATGTGAAACCAGTCAAGAATCTCCTTTTGGGCGCCTTGGTACCCATCCTGGACGCCCGGCAAGGCTGGGTTCGTGGGCGCGGCAAAAGTGAGCGCGACGAGGATGCAGGAAAATGCGAAGATGGCCACGCAGTTGAATGGGTCAACTCGGTTCAACACTTCATGGAGGGCTTTGACGGCTATGCTTTGGTGGGTTGATGCTCGAAGAGCTAGTGGCTCCCGCCGCTGAGGGTGTAGGTAGGAGAGGTGCAAAGCAGCAACTGCGAGGATTCCACGCAAGAGGAATTCATGCTGGAATCCTAGCTGGACTACCTGTATCTGCCATATCTCGTGCTGGTCGGAGGTAGCGCCTGATGGGAGTGTTTTGTAGGTGAAGGTAGTGTAGTGGTGGAGGAGTTCGAGGTCGATTACATCCAAGCCTGAGCTCCTTGGAATGGTGGAGGTGTTCGGAGGCGGCCCGATGACAGATGTGGTCGAGGAGTGCGAGGGAGCGGGGTGTGTCGTAGGTGTCGATGGCTGCTGAGACGATGATGCTCCTGTAGAGGAAGATGTTGATCTTGATGAGAGTGCTCGATTTGCTAGGTCACAAGCGATGTTTCTCCGAGCGCAGTTCGAACATTGTGGAGGATGCTCGTCGCACTAGATTTCCCACCTCCCCCAACAGGCAGACACATTTCGTGTCAGTGCTTCCATTTCCCTTGTTTTATACTCAAGACGTACGACAAATAACGAGGTGGACTAAGCTGGTGAAGGGTTTATTGACTTTGATACGCCGTGATTTACACTGAGTGCAACCATTCCGTGATTTCGTATGCGACCTGCGACTGCCCATTATTTGTTATCCTTTAGAGAGCGCGGCAAAGTCAAATTTATGTCCGGCATGCTATATCGCTTCGGTGATGCCTGAAGATGTATAGCGCAATACACCCAGACACCAAGATGAAGCAGAAGATAAGGGGCAATGAATGGTGCTGAACGGAGTAATTTTCTCTGCACTCTTTTCAGATCATTATTGAATGAGATTTGCATTTGTTCGTATAACTCTCGCCGGCCGTTGCGCCAGCTTATTTAGACCTCATGAGGTTAGTTGCGGCATGATGATAAATCCGGATGCGCATTACGCATTACGCATTACGCAGCGTATTCCTCTTCTTCACTCTCTTCACGATGTTCTTACTGCGGAAAAGGATGAATAAATGCATTCACCTCCATATATCCCGACGCACATATGCCTTTATGCCTTCCCCCCGATCCAAAGATCCTGGATAGCTCTACAAATCTATCATCAGGCGAGGACAGTCTCGACAATGTCCAACATCTATACATTGGAGCAGCTATGGTTGCATGACAATCATCTAGCAACCCTTCAGTCAATGCTACAGTTTAGGAAATAAAAAGTGAGAGGGGTTATAATCTTCCTTTACTTTATATGTGGACGGCAGCTTGTATTGCAAGGTGGTGGGTGAACACTCATTTTCCTGCTTTGTTTTACAAGGATTTGATCGACCCTTCATGGCGCCGACGTTACTGCACCACCATGATTCCTTCTGAGGGGAGAATGTAATGGAAGCAAGCAGGTAGAATGGCACTGAAATGGAAATTGGGGGTTGCGCGCTTTTGGCGGTGCGAGAACAGGAGGAGCAGGATCACTTACCAGAAAACCACAAGATCATATTAACTATATCTAACAGCCTATCTCGAATAACATAAGGAAAAGCATGTGGGAGAATCGACTAGAAGGAAAGGAACGGGTTGTACAATCAAAACATAAGGAATCGCATACGTGAAGAACACTCTGCACACAGATATATCTATATCGCTATATATATGCAGGGCAATGCCCGGTGAAAATTTTACCCGCGCCGGATCCCCATTAAAGCACCAGCAGGATTTCTCTTTATTGTACGGAGTAAACAGAAAAGGTAGTTACTGCCTTCCCAATCAAAATTGTCGCTTCAAAAACACCAGAGCACTACAAGCACTACAAGCACACCCCATACACCATGATTGCAAGCAGCAATTCCAAGTCTCTACTGACAATGCCACCCTCTCTGCCGGACCATGCTGTGGCACGCGAGATTCCAGATAGGCACAACAGTCCCTGAGTTGTCAGTCCAAAATCTGATCAGTGTTTGAACAAGAATCCTTGGCAGCAAGCTTCTATGATCCTCAGAGATCATCTAGATCAAGTTCACCAACTATAAATCAACTTCTGTCACAATTTGTCCACTCAAGTCTTCCTCACTCAGTCAATGATGAATCTGAATCATCATCAGACAATCTGATTGATCTGAATGATAGGTCAAATGAAGAAAACAATATGAAATCTCTCAGTAAGGTTGAGAAACATCACACCTTGAAAGCAATGCCGAGTGTGAGTGCAATAGTGAAACTGGTGATGAAAGGAGCAGTGAGGCAACATCAACTTGAGACTTGGAAGAGGAGTCACAGACACAGCCACAGTCAGGGTCACAAAGGATCCATCCAGCCAGCACCAGAACCAGAGCCAGAGCCAGAGGCGGTCACTGCATCGAACGTGAGTTTCCCTGCTACTGTGGGCTGCAGAGGGCATATATTAATGAATACAGGAGGCCTTGACTACACTGGCAGCAGCAAGGAGAATGTTGAACCATTGTCACCATGACCCATCCCCAGTGCACTGCCAGACAACATTTTCAAGAACAGATTCTCAAGGAAACTCATGTCAGAGTTGGTGACTCTTTCGCACACCACCTTGAGCCAGACACAAGTGGCCCCCATATTCTGCTACATCATGAGGCTAGGGAAGGGCATCTTGAATTTTTCCTGTGGACGCTCATATGGCAGTTGGAGGATGACATTGCAAAGGTCCATCCAGATCAGCTCAAGCAATACAAGGAGAGGTTGGATGTCGGGCCTGCGAGAAGGGTCTCTCAGGCGAGAAAGCAAGCAAGGTCCCCTTTTCCAGAGCCTAGTTTTTTAGCACGACATATACCTTTCTTTGAGAATTAACTCATCCCACAAAATATAGCTGAAGTTCCTGCTGTATTGCACCCCTTTGTCTCTTGTATCCGTGCACTTCAAACTCAAGCCTCGTGAAAGTTGATTTCTTGCGTAATTATAGGAATCCTCACTAACTAGTTTCAGGTTTTAACCCGGGGTTCCGGGTACTCATCACGCTCCGGACTATCACGCTCACCC